TATCAGGCAACAGACTGCGTCAATCAGAGTCGGTTAATGGCACAACTGACAACAGTGGAAATGAAACCGGGCGAAAAAGGGATGGCGTATATCAGCCGCTGTCGCGAATTGCGCGACAAACTCCTTCGATGCGGAGGGTCGATATCAGAAGATGCCTTCGTCACAGTCGTTATTGGCGGTCTTGGTCCTCATTGGCGCTCCACTCGCGCCATACTCAGAGCTCACGGGAAGATCTCCGAAGCAGCATTGTGCGCTGAAATTCACGCCGAACAGCAAGACATGGACCTACAAGAAGAAAAACACAAGAGGAAGACGTCAGTGTCTGAGCTCGCTTTCCACACTCAACGGCGCTACAACAACAACAACCATCGGCAAAACAAGTACCAAGGTCAACAACCCGTACCTCCATTTTGTCATCTTTGCAAGACGTCAGGTCATCCCCGCACACACTGCCCTAACCGACAACAGTCAGTACCAACGCAGCGGCAGCTTCGACCTTCAAGCAGTCAAGTAGCCTCAACGCAAGCAAATTCCACCACTCAAGTACAAACGTCAACAACGTCGACGAGACAACCTGCACAAGGAACAAGGGACATCGTCAGCTGCATGGCAAGATTGACCGACTCCTGCATCACTGAATCGCCGCCGCACTACTCACCAGAAGAACAACTCGACGAAAGGACTCCACGTCGAGAATCGCTGCAACCGAACCCAACGTACGCAGCCATCGCCCAAAGCGAACTGTCTGGGAAGGATACCTGGTTCTTGGACAGTTGCTGTGGACAACACATGTGCTCTTCAGGACGCTTTGTTCAACGCGAACACGAACTTCAACGCGAGGTCGTCATCACCGTCGCCAACAATCAGAACCTGCGCACACGGCGACAAGGCGTAGTGCAACTTCAGTCACGAGAAACAAACGTCATACTGCAGATGTCGAAGGTTTTAATAGCAGAAGGGCTCGGTTACAACCTACTGAGCGTCAGTCAACTGATGGCGAAGGCCATACACCTCGAAGCAGATAGCACCACTCAGGAGTTCAAGTTATACCACGGGAAGGGCGGTCTCTACATCGGGAAGGCGGTCCTGAAAAACAACGTCTTCGTCCTCGACTTCGTCCCAGATCTTGGCACCGCTGACAGCGACGGGATTGTCACTTTCACCTCCTGGACACATCCACCGGATCTCGACCCCAACTTCAGTCCAGAAGGCTTCTGGTACTCGCACACCATCCCTGAGACAGAACGAACAAGAGCATTAGCAACAATTCAACACTCGGCAGCAGCAGAACCAACATCGGCAGCAGCAGAGACAACATTGGCAGGAGCAGAGACAACATCGGCAGCAGCAGAAACAACGGCAGCAGCAGCAGCAACAACATCGACACCAATCGCTGGTCCTTCAACTGCATCGGCTCCAATCGACGACACTCCACCGACTCCTACGCAGTAGCTTAACCCAACACCACGAGAAGTACATCGAAGCGCAAACTTCACCACAAGCTTCTACTCCAACTCCGACTTGTACCGACGCTCACCCGGACATCGAGCTGGCGAAGACATCTGGCACGCACGAATGGGACATCCAAGCAACACGGTGTTAAACAACACAATCAGAGCAGGAGTACTCGACAAAGATTCACTGCTCCTAACCGATGGAAGCGAACTTCGACGAGCTCGTGGAACGTGCTTTACGTGCCCCGAAGCTGACTTACCACATCGGCCATTCGCTTCTCACCACAACCCCAGCGCACCAGCTTACGCACCACTTGAGAAAGTGTACAGCGACATCCTGTACAATCGCGAACCTGGACAAGGAGCATACAGCTACACCATCAAGTTCATCGATGCCGGTACGCGTTACGTTTGGCATCTTAACCTTCCGAGCAAGGACATGGCTTTCGAGGCCTTCGTCGCTTGGCTCCCAGTAGCAGAACGAGAATCAGGCGTGAAACTAAAAAGCTTCCAGTCAGACGGAGGGGGAGAATACACCTCACGGAGGTTCAAGCAGTACTTGGCAGAAAGAGGAATCAAGAGGCTCATCTCTCTTCCCTACGCTCACCAGCAGCAAGGCGTAGCAGAAAGAATGAACAGGACTATCCAGAACACCATGCGCAAGCTGCTACGAGGCATGCGACTGCCCAACCACCAGTGGCCCGAAGCAATGGACCACGCTGTCATGCTGCACAACTTGCTCTCGTCATCATCGCTCCCGAACAACGCATCACCACATCTGCTGTGGACAGGAAAACAGGGCAGCACAAAAATGTTAAGAGTTTTCGGCTGCATGGTACAGTACCGACCCCCATCTGCACGAGCCGGCCGATTTTCCCAACGCGCACAGTGGGGACTACACCTGGGCATCGAAAGAAATTACAACGCGTGGAAGATTTTCGACGTCCACTCCAAAGAAGCAGTAGCAGCACGTGATGTCATTTTCTACGAACGACTCACCCTTCCGACGTATCTTGCCAACCTGGAAGAAGATCGGGACCCCACAGGTGGCTTTCGTGGTGACCGACACTTCGCCTCGGCAGCAGACGAAGCTGACTGGGACGAGCAGAACGTGGATGAAGCCTCGGAGGAAGCCGGACCTCTCCCTTACTGCTCCATCGACGTCCCAATGGATGGCGAAAATCCTCGCGAAAGCGCCAACGCCGACGTATTTTACCACTTCGCCGACAATGGTTACGTTACACCTGCAGAAGTCAACACCAACGAAGCAGAACGCATAGGGCCCAACTTCATACCTGACCCAGAAGCAGGTGACGAAGCAGCTTATCCCGCGGACACAACTCTCCCCCGCTACACACAGAGTGGCCTCCAGATACTCGGCCTTGTCACCGCGGTCCACGGCACGGAGATTCCTAAGGAGCCTGCCACAGTTCAGCAGGCTCTGGGGGGGAAGCATAAGGAAAAATGGCGTGAAGCCATGGACAAGGAACTGAAAGCACTGAAGGAACGCAACACCTGGAAAGTCGTCCCTATTGGCGTGGCACGAAACAAGACAGTACTCACCGGGAAGTGGGTCTTCCGTGTGAAGACAAAGGCAGACGGCACCATCGACAAGTTTAAGGCGCGCTGGGTCGTACGCGGCTTCGACCAAGAGCACGGACGCGACTTCACCGAGACATTCACCCCGGTCAGCCGACACACCTCACTACGAATTCTCCTCGCGATCGCCGCCATGAAGAAAAGGAAACTGCGGCAAATCGACGTCGCCAACGCATTCCTCTACGCACCTGTTGACGTCGAAATCTTCGTCGAACTCCCACACGGCTCCCACGGAGAACCTAACCAAGTCTGTCAGCTGCAAAAATCCCTGTACGGCATCAAACAAGCTCCAAGGCTGTGGCAGCAGTATCTGCACGCAAGACTTATTCGCATTGGATTCCGCCAACTACCACACAACCAGGGCATGTATCGGCTCACAAAGGGCACCGACTACATCCTATTGATCGTCTACGTGGACGATTTACCCTACATCGGCTCGACCAACAACGTCACCACCTGGTTCGAAGGGGAACTACAGAAGGATCTCACGCTCACAGTCTCGTCCACTGTCACGCAGTATCTCGGCCTCAACATCCAGGAAGAAGAAGACGCGATCTACCTCAACGCCGCAAAATACGCCGACACCATCGCCAAACGCTTCGCACTCACGCCGACCACCATCTCTACGCCATACCGCTACACGGCAGGAAACAACAAGGAAGGATCCGCTCCACTAAAGCCTGCCGGCATACGCGACTACCAGAGAAAGCTGGGATGCCTCCTCTTCGCAGCTGTCACTTGCCGTCCGGACCTATCGTACTCCGCAAGTCAGCTCGCGACCTACCTCAAGAAACCTGAAGCAGAACACATGGCGGAACTCGACCGTGCTCTCCACTACCTCGTCAGCACTTCAACCGTCGGTCTAACCTACCACAAGAACGGGACTACGACACCTAAACTAATCGGCTACGTCGACGCCGATCACGCCGGCGACTCCGACAACAGACGCTCACGCACCGGCTACATCTATCGCTTCGAGCCTATCGGACCCATCTCCTGGCAGTCGAGCAAACAGGAATTAATCGCTCTCTCTTCAGCTGAAGCTGAATATATCGCACTCTGCTCAGCCACCAAGGAAGGACTGTACCTTCGCGAACTTCTGGAGGAGGCGAAGCTGGCTCAGTTACCCAGCTTCTCTTTGTTCTGCGACAACCAGTCGGCAATTCGCATAGCCAACAAAAACGGATTCGCGAACAGGACGAAGCGTATCGCCCTGCGATATTTCTTCGTAAAGGACGAGATCGAAAAGGGGAGACTTGAGCTGTCTTACTGTCCCACGTCCGAGATGGCAGCTGATTACTTGACCAAGAAGCTCGGGAAGCAGAAGTTCGAGTACTGCATGCTGCCGACTGGACAAAGCCACGTCACCAGCAGCGACACTCAAGAAGCGAAGGGGAGTGTTGGAAACAATTGATTTAGCGCCTCTGTCGTGTCGAAACACCAAGTCAGAAGCGAAGCGAAACATATCGAAGCATTAGCGAGTCAACCCTCGGAGGTTGAACAACTGCTGGAGGTTATGCGAAAGTCAAAGGTCAGTGACTTTTGACCTGACAAATACAGCGCGACAGCAAGGACAAACAACTGACTCGCTATTGAGCAGTTGCCCGAGTCGTCACTGTATCGAACCGCAACAGCAACAGCAAAACAGTTATTAACTGTATCTCTTCGTATTCCTTGTACTCTTATAAAAGCTTGTATCCCTTTGTTTTAATCAATCTACTTTGCCCTCACATACTAGCGCAAGGTGGTTCACAAAGTTCTCATTAAACGCTTCCGCTATTACATTGTCCTACTCAGAATTTAGTCCTGCAAAGATCCTAAGGGCTTTTCTCAGCCCAACAAAAACAAGCTACAGCCTGTCAGACTAGAGGACTTCCGATCCGAGCAAGTGTTCTTCGGGTGGTACGGTGATTGCAATGAGTTTCTCCATCTCACAGTTTACAAGATTCACTTGTAAGGAGTCCCGGCAATGTTGGCAATCGCTTTCTTGGCCAATCTCAACCTCTCTTCTAGAACCTTCTCTTCCTTCCCTCCCTTCCCCACACCAGCAGCTGCTCCCCCACCCTCACTCCCCCCCTCACTCCTGATATACTGAAGCAGTTGGCACGTGGACGGCGCATGTGGTGAGAGGTGGGCGGCGAAGAAGAGGAGGATTCCGTCTCGTAGTGGGCCGAGGTTGGTTGGGGCGGCGATGCGGGAGAAGAGGGACCAGAGGGTGGCGGGGGGGAAGGAGGAGAGGAGGAAGAGGAAGAAGAGGCGGAAGTGGGTTGCTATGCGCGCGTGCATGGCTGCTGGGTCTGCAAAATCCACCGGCTGAAGGGAGAAGGAGTGGGGCGGGAGGGGGGAGTGGGGGGAACGGGAGGAAAGGGTAAGAAAGAAGGAGGCGAAAGGGGGAGGAAGGGGGACCGAGAGGGAGGGAACGATGGGAGAGGAAAGGGGAGGAAAGGAGGAAGGAGGGGGAAGGGGAGGAAAGGGCATGAAAGAAGAGGTGGAAGTGCAGGTGGATGCGGGGGAGGGGAAGGGAAGGAAGGAGAGGGTGGGGCGCAATTTAGACGGCAAACTGAGCGAAGTGCAGTGCGTGGTGGGTTGGGTTAGCTCGCTTAGGGGATGCATCTGGTAACCGATTTGGGATGCATCACAGCTTCTGCATAGAGGAAACACACGGTGCCTTGAGCAACGCCAGAGACAGCGCGTGGGTGGCAACGATCTGGGCGGCGAACTGAGCCTAGGGAGAGCACCTGGCAACCATAACAAGACTGCCAGTCAACGATCTGGGCGGCGAACTGAGCGAGCCTGGCAGCGAGTGGTGGGTTACCTTGAATGGGATAAGCACGGTACCTTGAGCAATGCGAGGGAGAGCGCGTGGGTGCCAACGATCTGGGCGGCAAACTGAGCGAGGTGGAGAGAGCGGCGGGGGTCCATGTCAGGCAGTTGTTGGTAGTGGTCCCACAGGCAGTACTGCAGACTGAACTTGTGACTCCGAGCATGCCCACACAACCTCCCGGCTAGGAGGGAATAGTACTTATTGAAATGGCGCTCCTGCATGCAGCACTCCACGAGAACCCTCAGAATCTCCCGGTCCTGTGGTGGTGGTGGTAGTGGTGGAGGTGGTGGGGAGAAGGACACACAGACACAGGTGTGAAAGAGTGCGGTGGAATAAGAGGGCGGGGTTCCATGTCAGGGAGCTGCTGGCAGTGGTCCCACAGGCAGTACTGCAGACTGAACTTGTGGCTCCGAGAATGCCCACACAACCGCCCAGCTAGAAGGGAATAATACTTGTTAAAGTGCCGCTCCTGCATACAGCACTCCACTAGCAACCTCAGAATCTCCTGGTCCTGTGGTGGTGGAGAGGGAGGGAGGGGGCGGAAGGGGAAAGCAGAGGCACAGGCTAGGAGACCGAAGTATTTGTTGAAGCGGTGCTCCTCCATGTAGCACTCCACTAGCACCCTCAGGATCTCCAGGTCCTGTATGCAGGCAGAAAGACAGTGGAAGAGAGGAGGGAAGAGGGGAGAGGGAAGAGGGGAGAGGGGAGAGGGGAGAGGGGAGAGGGGAGAGGGGAGAGGGGAGAGGGGAGAGGGGAGAGGGGAGAGGGGAGAGGGGAGAGTGGGCTGTACGGCTTGAGCCTGCTGGTGGTGGTCCCACAGGCAGTACTGCAGACTGAACTTGTGGCTCCGAGCGTGCGAGCAGAAGCGGGCAGCTAAGTGGCTGTAATGCTTGTAAAAATGCGGCTCCTGCAGACAGCAGCACTCCACTAACACTCGCAGGATTTCCCGGTCCTGCGGTTGGTGTTTGTGTTGATGGCGGTGGCGGGGAGAAGGGCACAAAGACACAGGTGTGCCTGGGTGAGGTGCAGGGAAGGGGAGTCAATGCCGGGCAGCTGGTGGTGGTGGTCCCACAGGCAGGACTGCAGACTGAACTTGTGGCTCCGGGCGTGGCCACACAGGCAGGCAGCCATAACGGAGTAATACTTGTTGAAATGCTGCTCCTGTAGACAGCACTCCACTAGCAAGCACCCTCAGAATCTCCCGGTCCTGTGGTGGTGTAGAGGGAGTGGAGGGGGGGAGGGTGGGACATAGGCATGGCTGTGAAACCGTGGGGCAGAGTGAGAGGGCGGGGGTGGATGTACTAGCAGCAGCTTTTGAGTCGACTCAAAAGTGGGACGGAGTGAGAGGGCGGGGGTGGATGTACTAGCAGCAGCTTTTGAGTCGACTCAAAAGTGGGACGGAGTGAGAGGGCGGGGGTGGATGTACTAGCAGCAGCTTTTGAGTCGACTCAAAAGCGGGACGGAGTGAGAGGGCGGGGGTGGATGTACTAGCAGCAGCTTTTGAGTCGACTCAAAAGTGGGACGGAGTGAGAGGGCGGGGGAGGATGTACTAGCAGCAGCTTTTGAGTCGACTCAAAAGTGGGGCGGAGTGAGAGGGCGGGGGTGGATGTACTAGCAGCAGCGGCAGCAGCTGCTGCTACTAGCACTGCCTGGTAGTAGTAGTGCAGGCCTCAGGCCGTACTGCAGACTGTGACCCCTCGTGTGTCGCACAAGTCGGGCTGAGAACGCACCTCTTTGCCCTGGCAAACCCAGTCTCAGCAGCTTCTCAAAGGCATCGATATAATCCTCCGCACTCATAATCACACAGAACACCATCTATGAACCCATTCTCTCGGGCCCTTCTAGATCATTTCGGTTCGACCGCTACTGAGAAGGACTCAGGGCGGGCACAGGAAGGCTCGCTCGGAGCATCATGTGCAGGTGGGGCTGGGAATGGGAACACACCGCACCTGCTTGCCTGGTAGATCCAGCCTCAGGAGTTTCTCAAATGCTTCAATAAAGACCTCTGCGCTGATAATTAATCACACGGAACAACTTGAGGAGTTTCAGGGATCAACTTATCTGCTCTATCATCATCACACACACTCACCTGCTTGCCTGGTAGTCCCAGCCTGAGCAGCTTCTCAAAGGCATCGATATAATCCTCGGCGCTCATAATCACACAGAACACCGCCCGCCTGGCGTCCGTGTTCATCCTCTGTGCCGCCGCCAGCTGCATCAGCCTCTCAGCTTCCGCCACGTCAGCAGCGTCCAGCAGCGCGTTCCCCGCCAGCTGGACCGCCAGGCTGGCGCTGCCGCTGCTGCCCCCCAGTGCTGCTGATGTGGCGGGTAGGGAGCTGAGGGGTTGAGAGGAGGAGGAGGTGTGCCACCATTGGTCGTGCTTGTGCGGGTCAATCAGGCGCTGCCACGTCAGCGACCGTAGCTGAACGATTTCGACTGGGCGCTGGGGGAGAAGAGGGGGAAGAGGGTTGGGGGAGATGGGGAGAAAAAGGGGGTTAGGGATGGAGTGTGAGGATGGGAGGGGCAGTTATGATTGTGATGAGCACAATCTATCCACAACGATGAAAGAGCGACTTTTGAGTCGACTCAAAAGTCACCTCCTTATGGATGGAGTGTGAGGATGGGAGGGGCACTTATGATTGCGATGAGCACAATTTATCCACACCGATGAAAGAGCAAGGGGGAGACGAGTAAGGGGCGGGTTGACCTTTGTGTTGGATTCAAGGGACACCTACACAGTGGCACAACCCACTGCTCTACATCACACCGCACCACACCGAATTGCACCGCACTTCATTGCATCACACAGCACTCACCTTCAGCAGCCACTTTTGCAGGCGGGAAACGGCCGTGCTGCCATCACTCGCCTCTGCTCCCCCCCCTCCCTTTGCAAACACGCTCACCGCCCCCTTCCCCTTCCCCTTCCCCGCAGCCCCTCCCCCACCCCCTACAGCCGCCCCCCCTCCCCCCATGACTGCCCCCCCTGTTCCTCCCATGGTCCCACTGCCTCCCCTGCGACTGGCGTTGCGAGGCGCTCGGTTGTTCTTGATGTCAGTGATTGTTTCGAGCATGAACTCGACCTGATAGGGGTTGCGGGTGGAGGGGTGAGTTAAGGTTATGGCAACAAGCAGTGCAAGGGTGACTCAAGGCGCTCGGTTGTTCTTGATGTCCGTGATGGTTTCGAGCATGAACTCCACCTGTTTCTACCATGAACTCCACCTGTTTCTACCATGAACTCCACCTGTTTCTACCATGAACTCCACCTGTTTCTACCATGAACTCCACCTCTTTCTACCATGAACTCCACCTGTTTCTACCATGAACTCCACCTGTTTCTACCATGAACTCCACCTGTTTCTACCATGAACTGCACGAACTCTCCCCTTTACCGACAGCAGGAACAACCAAGCACAGACTCGACCTAGACGGGAGGGACGTGCAAGGGTGACAAAGGGACAGCATAGGGGGGGGGGTGGGTGGTAGGGTGAGAGGTGCTGCAGGGTGATTCTGAGTGACTATGACGGACAAGGCAGGGCAAAGGGTGTGGGAGTGATGAAAATGGACAGTGCCCGACTGTGGGAGTGCCCGACTGTGGGAGTGATGAAAATGGACAGTGCCCGACTGTGGGAGTGATGAAAATGGACAGTGCCCGACTGTGGGAGTGATGAAAATGGACAGTGCCCGACTGTGGGAGTGATGAAAATGGACAGTGCCCGACTGTGGGAGTGATGAAAATGGACAGTGCCCGACTGTGGGAGTGATGAAAATGGACAGTGCCCGACTGTGGGAGTGATGAAAATGGACAGTGCCCGACTGTGGGAGTGATGAAAATGGACAGTGCCCGACTGTGGGAGTGATGAAAATGGACAGTGCCCGACTGTGGGAGTGATGAAAATGGACAGTGCCCGACTGTGGGAGTGATGAAAATGGACAGTGCCCGACTGTGGGAGTGATGAAAATGGACAGTGCCCGACTGTGGGAGTGCCCGACTGTGGGAGTGCCCGACTGTGGGAGTGCCCGACTGTGGGAGTGCCCGACTGTGGGAGTGCCCGACTGTGGGAGTGCCCGACTGTGGGAGTGCCCGACTGTGGGAGTGCCCGACTGTGGGAGTGCCCGACTGTGGGAGTGCATGGGAAGATCGCTCGCTTGTTCTGATGACAGTCGGGCATCACAACAGGACGCACTCACCTGCTTGCCAAAATAACGGCGCTGCCTGTTGTGATGCCTTGGGATAAACGTTCATTTTTGACAAGTCTCATAAATTCTATGATTTCACGTCACCTGCTTGCCAAATAATGGAGCCGCCTTGGTACGCCCAGAGCACCACCAGCACCAGCAGCAGCACCACCACCAGAAGCACCTCACTCTTTGCTTCCTGCCTGTGCCTCCTTGTGTCTGCTGCTTTGCTCTGCACGCCCAGAACGAACCCCTTCATCCCACTGCCACACCTTGCACCTCCATGCACTGACCCGCTTGCTTTAGGACAAAACAACACGAGTTGATGGAAGTAAGGCCTCCGCAGTCCACCTGTCCTCTTTTGACAGCTGCCACACCTTGCACCTCCATGCACTGACCCGCTTGCTCAGCACCGGGGCTGCCTTGGCGCCACCAGCGCCAGCACCAGCAGCAGCAGCCTCGCTCTATGCCTCCTGTGCTTGCTTCCGTATATCAGCCGCTTTGCTCTGCATGGCTAGAATGAACTCCTTCAACTCATCGCCAAACCTCTCATCCCCACCAATGCACTCACCCGCTTGCTCAACACCGGCGCCTTTTCACCACCAGAACCACCAGCACCCTCACTCCATGCCTCCTGCGCCTGCCTCCGTATATCAGCCGCCTTGCTCTGCACGGCCAGAATGAACTCCTTCATTGCCACAGGGTCATCGGCTCTCAGGGCAAGGCCACATGCTGAGATGGGGAGGTAGGTAGTGGAGGGGTGTGGGAGTGGTGGGAGAAGTAGAGATATATCAGCCGCCTTGCTCTGCACGGACAGGATGAACTCCTTCATCCCCACGGGGTCACTGCCTCTCAGGGCAAGGTTACAAGCTGGCATGGGGAGGAGTGGGGAGGAGTGGGGAGGAGAGGAGGGGGGTGGAGAGGAGTGGAGAGGAGTGGGGAGGAGTGGAGAGGAGTGGGGAGGAGTGGAGAGGAGTGGGAATGGGTGGGAGCAGGACTATATACGTTGAATTTCTCTGCAAGGCCAGAACCATTGCCACAGGGTCATGAGCTCTCAGGGTAAGCCCGCAGGCGTGCGATGGGAGGGGGCACGGTGAGGGGATTGGTGAGTTGGGAGACAAAAAGGGGAGAGATATGAGGGAGAGCAAGAGAGAGAGGCAGGAGGGAAGCCCAAATCGATTATCAAGGCCGCATGCTAGCACAGGGTGGGATGGGCGGAAACGGGTAAGAGTTACAGCATTCAAAGAGTTAACGGGTTCTGTGTGTGTGTGTGTGTGTGTGTGTGTGTGTGTGTGTGTGTGTGTGTGTGTGTGCGTGCGTGTGCGTGTGTGTGTGTGTGTGTGTGTGTATGTGTGTGTATAATACACACACAGGGAGTCTACTTATGGATGTCTGTTCATAGGTAATATACACATGCGTATGTTCATATATCTACAGTAAAAATCCATTTGGTAATATTGCTAATACATTAAATGGACACTCACACTGTAGCAAGTGAATCATGGCAGCCACATCCAGCTCTCTGAATCCATCTGTGAGGCGCGCTAAAAACGAGTATATCACCTCTCTGTAATGAGGGGGGCAGAGAAGGGAGGTGCAACAACAACCATAATCATGGTAAGCTTGACTTTCAAGACAGCTGATTTTTGAAAGATGGCTGACTTTTGAAAGACGGCTGACTTTTGGAAGACGGCTGACTTTTGAAAGACGGCTGACTTTTGAAAGACGGCTGAATTTTGAAAGACGGCTGACTTTTGAAAGACGGCTGACTTTTGAAAGACGGCTGACTTTTGAAAGACGGCTCAATTCTGAAAGACAGCTGACTTTTGAAAGACGGCTCAATTCTGAAAGACGGCTGACTTTTGAAAGACGGCTGAATTTGAAACTAAGTGGCAATATACGCGTATAGCGTATATATGCGAGTCGTATATACGCATGCGTTTATACGCTATATACTTAGGTCCCGAGACCCTAGATACGCTATTTTGGGCAGGTTAAAAAAGTTCGGGCAGCTAAAATAAGACCCCCCTGATATACTTCTGGGGTCAGTTTCCACAGGGGTTGGATTTCCCGGTTTTTCTTCCCGACTCAAAGTTTTTCACCAACAACGTTACTCACCCTATACAACTACTACACATACTACTACTCATGCTACTCCAGATCAATTACGCCACCACCTACTCACACTCATCCTCCAGAATGTCGTCCTCCTCCCCTTCCTCCTCCTCATTCCCCTCCACCACATTGTAGCCCTCGGGCACGGGAGGCTCCGGCATGTTCCCAAGCACCACACCCGGCATGACATCCTCACGGGAATGCCAGTTGCGCACAACGTTCCAGTTGCGCGCAACGTTCCAGTTGCGCGCAACGTTCCAGTTGTGCGCAACGTTCCAGTTGTGCGCAACGTTCCAGTTGTGCGCTATGTTGCAAAAGACGCGTCCTGCGTCTAGGACACTTGCGTCCAGACGCAGCGTCTTAGACGCAGGACGCTTCTTTGGGCCCTGTGAGACGCTGAAAAAGACGCATGCCCGGGCAGGGCAAAAAAACGTCCGGGCAGCCAAAAAAACATGCTATAGGGCATGGGAAGGAGGGGGGAGAACGACGTACCACACATTTGAGACAAAATTTTCCCCATCCAACATATTTTCCCTCATAAACAGGTTCCCCGAGAGTCACACATGGTCTAGGGTTTTTGAAGGAGAATTGAAGGATCTTAACCCTCTAGGGTTTTTGAAGGAGAATTGAAGGAGTTAAACCCACTAGGGTTTTTGAAGGAGAATTGAAGTGAGCTTGAGATATGGAGGCAAATGAAGTGTTTGTGCTCCTACAAGTACTTGGTGGTAGACTACAATGGTTGGGGGGGTTTCCAAACTTGGTTGGGGGGCGGTTTTTCAAGGTCGAAATGGGTGTTGGGGGGGTCAAAATTTCGCGAAATTGACATTCGCGACGAAAGCGCGAATGTCAGTTTCGCGCTGGGCAATTTTTTTTCCCGGTCAGCCCGTAAAAAAAATCAGCGTGCGTCCTGCGTCCCTGCGTCCAGACGCAGGACGCACGACGCGCCCAGCATCTTTTGCAACATAGGTTGTGCGCAACAAAAACCAAATCCCGGCACTTGGCAGGGCCAAGCCGGTTCCGGCGGGCCGTGTGCACCCCATCCCACGTTGACCATCCCCTCTCACATGGTGAAGCCGACACGGGCTGAGAGAGAGAGTCCTGATGGCGAGGGCCGCCAGCTTTGGTGCGTCAGTGCCACGCCACTGCCACCATTTAACCATGTCGTATCATTAAACCATGTCGTATCATTAAACCATGCCCTAATTCACCAAGTTCCTTAGAGCAATTGCATCCACCATCCCGAAGCTTCCCTTCATATCCAGAAATGCCCTCACCCCGTCCTGCAGTTCCATCAAAACCTCGCCACTCTCATTCCCATCATCCCCCTCCTTCCCGTGATTGCTGAGGTGCTCGGCGTGCTGAGTGATGAACGCTTTGAATAACTTTGTGCACTCCGCGTCTGAGCCGAAGATGTCCTCATCCTGATTCGCCGGGTTGAGAATCCGGCCCGCAACGTGCATGGGGCAGGCGAGGCTGCCGTCCCACCTATTCTTCAGCAGGCGGCAGATGTGCACTTTGTCGGAGTAGCTCAGCTGCTCCTCATCCTCCTCCACCACTGTCCCCACATCCTCAGTCAACTGCAACATTATGTCATACATACGGCCCATCATCCCCTTGGCATCTCCATCGGTCTTATGCATTGCCATGAAAGGGAGCTTCATAAACTTGTAGAAAAACTCTGCCGTCCGCCACCACGCGGCATCAAGAACTTGTGCTGCCAACTTCTCCAAAGACTTGTTCCTCTCCCCAATTGCCCAGCCCTTCCACAAATCAAACACCACCATCTGTGTAAGCGACTACCGCAGCTCCCGAATCTTGTTCCAGCCGGTTTCAGCGCCTGCAGCATCGTTGCACCCACCAGTTTCGGGTTCCTCAAGTATCCCCTCGTCCAGTGGTGGTTGCGGACGAAGGAGCTTATCTCGACCGCAGGGTCCACCACCTTCTTGGCCCACGGCATCTTGCCGACGCCCTCCATGTAGAGGTCCAAAACGTGGGTGGCGCAGGGCACGTGTTGAATGTGCGGCCATTCCGCGATCAATTGGTTGATTTTTGAGGCGCCTCAAAAAGCGATCAACTGGTTGATTTTTGAGGCGCCTAAAAAAGCGATCAACTGGTTGATTTTAGAGGCGCCTCAAAAAGCGATCAACTGGTTGATTTTTGAGGCGCCTCAAAAAGCGATCAACTGGTTGATTTTTGAGGCGCCTCAAAAAGTGATCAACTGTTGATTTTCGAGGCGCCTCAAAAAGCGATCAACTGGTTGCATGCCACCGCGTAGTTGGATTGGACCCACCGTCCGTGCAGAACGCCACCACATTCTCTGGACCGACCTCCTCCACCACGGGCCTGAGGATGCTGGCGACATAACCGCCGGTTTTGGTCTCCATGCGGCAGTCCACGCTGTCCTTGAACACCGCGCCACTGTCGATGACGGGAAAAACGTTCGCCTGTGGGCGACCGTTCTTATCGGTCATCATATCAGAAGAAACTGTCGCGCCCGTCCGATTCCAACTCGCCTTCACTCCAGCCAGCCCCCTGTCGATGTTCTCGCAGCACAGTCGCAAGCCTGCCCCGCCGATGAACCCTCTCTTAGGGGGGACGTATCCTGTGCCGGCGTCCCTAATCGCACAGATGGTGTTGATGAAGAGAGGGTGCTCCACGATGCCCTCCGGGATGCGACACCCCACGAACATGAGCGCCAACGCCTCATGAGCATCGCGCTTCCCAGCTGCCGCATCTGCCTCCAAGTAGTCAGTTATGCGACTCCTCTTTCCGCCGCTAGTGACCGACGCAATGGCATCCGATGTAGCCTGGTGGCGCTGATCCGCCGCTGCAGCCTTAGCCTCGTACTTCTTCCGCATGGCAGCCCGAACTTCAGAGGGGGCATCCTTGCATAGCGCCACTTCGCGGCGCTTCATCTTCTTCCAACTCGTCAAATGCTGCGCGCAGTGGATGGCGGCACCAGAAAAAACATTGCAGCAGTAATTGCACTCGTACTGCCGCGATTTCCCCTCGTCCACCTTTATGAGGCGGAAATGCTTGAACACCTCGTGGTCGACATCCGGAAGGTAAACTCGTGTCGCACGAACAGGACTGGCCGTGCCGGTATTAGGAGGGGGAGTGTGCAGGTTCGGGTTAACAACTGCAGAAGCCATTCTAAGGAGCTCTCGGAAGGTAAACGGGAGGATGAATTGACGAGATAGAACTATACCTGTTTGTTAAGTAGCGTGGGATGGGTTGGTGGGGAGAAGTTGGATTGGAGGGAGGTTGTAGATCGAGAGTGGTACAAATTGGTGGAACTCCAATGTGAAATGTCAAGGACATTGCGACTCCAAAGATTGGAGCCACGTAACCCAACTCACAATCCCGGCGCCGCGAATTGAAAGCACGGAAACAAAGTCACCTCCACACATTGAAGCCACGTCCAGGCCAGGGTAGATCTCGGACGTGCATTTCGAGCACGGCACCATATTTGCCGTGAAAAGACGAAACTTTTAGGATATACTCGAAAATTTCCGATTTTAAGCTGCCCAAAAAAAACCCCCGAGCGTATTGCGTATTCGTTAGCGTATAGCGTTTTGCGTGTATACGCAAGCGGATAAACGCTATACGCTTAAAGGCAAAAGCGTATTTCGCCACTTAGTTTTGAAAGACGGCTGAATTTTGAGAGACGGCTGACTTTTGAAAGACGGCTGAATTTTGAGAGACGGCTGACTTTTGAGAGACGGCTGACTTTTGAAAGACGGCTGACTTTTAAAAGACGGCTGATTTTTGAAAGACGGCTGACTTTTGAAAGACGGCTGACTTATGAAAGGCGGCTGAATTTTTAGAGACGGCTGACTTTTGAAAGACGGCTGACTTTTGAAAGACGGCTGAATTTTGAGAGACGGTTGAGTTTTGAAAGACGGCTGACTTTTGAAAGACGGCTGACTTTTGAAAGACGGCTGACTTTTGAAAGACGGCTGGCTTTTGAAAGACGGCTGGCTTTTGAAAGACGGCTGGCTTTTGAAAGACGGCTGACTTTTGAAAGACGGCTGACTTTTGAAAGACGGCTGACTTTTGAAAGACGGCTGACTTTTGAAAGACGGCTGACTTTTGAAAGACGGCTGACTTTTGAAAGGTCATCTCAGTGGTTTGGCCTCTCAGCATGGTCAGAAGGTGTCATGAAGCAAGTAGGCTGAAGCCAGCTTGGAGGAAGGCCAGCAGCATGGGGAGACAGAGTTCCATTAAAGTTAACTTGCAGGATGCTTGACTTTTGAAAGGTCAGCTCGGTAGTTCGGTTGGCTTCTGGGCAGAGTCGGAGGGACTCACAGTGCAAGGAGCTGTTTTGTGAGAATTCTCAGGGACGAGTTAGGTCTGTTGAATCTGGGTCGATCTATTATTCTAAGGGACTCACGGTGCAAGGAGCTTGAGGACGAAAAGGTAGGCGAATAGCATGGTGAGATTGACTTTCAAGATTGGGACTTTCGAAAGGTCATGTCCGACCAGCATGCATGCACAACTCACGGTGCGAGGAGCTTGAAGACGTAAAGGTAGGCGAGCAGCATAGTGAGGTTGCGCAGGCCCAGAGCTTCATCTGCTTCGTACAGAGCCTGTTTGGGGGGGATGGTTGGGTGGGTGGGAACAAGAGTGGCACGGAAATTGTGGGCGAGTGAGGAAGGCGGGCAGCATGGTGACATTGCGCAGGCCCAGTGCTTCATCTGCTTCGTACAGTGCCTTGCCTGATGGGGGGGTTATGGGCGGCAGGTGGACGTGGAAGGATGGAGATTGTCTCTTCACTTCCTCGCTGCGAGCAGCATGGTGAGGTTGCGCAGGCCCAGTGCTTCATCTGCTTCGTACAGCGCCTGTCCGGGGTGATGGTGCCTTGTGCTCTTTGTCAAATCTCCACTGTGTGCTTTAAGAAATACTTGGAAATCGCCCTGCAAAAGTCGTCTGATGCTGTCTTTAAGAAGTGGAATGGAAAGGAGTGTGACCCGTTGCAAAGACTGGAACGGAAACCACCATGCAATGATCTACAGAAACTCTAGTTGAGTTGAACGGAAACCATCATTCAAATCAATGACCCGTTATGGTGAATTGGAGGTCAGCCGCATCATTGGGGTGCTTAAGAGTTTGACCACCACGCACCAAAACGACAAACCCTGATACCAACCAGGTCCACACTGGCTGTCTGGCTGGCCTATCCTGACTTGGCTGAACCTAATAGGCTGACCTCAAAACGAATTGCAAGGGTGGCGGCAAAGTTGGCTGCGAAGTCAATCCCAACCGTTGATGCCGTTGCTGAGATGAACGCAGCAAATACAGCCGCATATCTGCAGGAGATGAACGAACACGTGATGGGAGAAGATAAAAGAAGAACAGAAAAGAAAGTAAGGACACATGTTTAGCGCCATGCACGACGAGGTTTGAAAAAAACAATCATTGGGGGATGTGTGTGCGACTGAAACAGCACACAAAAAGGAGGGAGTGAAGAAACAAGGGAAGGGACTGGGGAAGGAGGGAAGCACAGGGAGAGAAAGCAAAGGGAAAGATAGATGAAATGCAGTCGAGATGGGGAAGTGCGAGTGCCAAAGTGATCGCACAGTGACGAACTGGTGTTGGGTCAAGCATGGAGCAACCAGAAGAGGCAGCTGTTCATTGCCGTGCGTGGCGCAATTCTTGAATGGACTCAGAAACTAGGAGGTGAGGAAGTGAGCCTGAGCGCAACGCAGGCGTGAAGCAACAGGACACGTAACTGCTCGTTGCCCCGGGGTGCATTGGTGCACGCTGTAATGACCTCGTCCGTCACCAGTGCTGCCACCAACGACCGCTTGTGCATCTGTAGGGGATGGGACGGGGGGTTAAGAGGGGTTAAGAGGGGTTAAGAGGGGGTAGCAAGAAAGCGATGTTATGACCTCATCTGTCACCAGCGCTGCCACCAATGGAACTCTTCAAACCTTTGTACAAACCTTTTAACGGTTCTAAAAGACAATGGTTCAGGGTTTCGGGTTTATAACCTCTCGCATGCCTCTCCTCCTAATCCCATGTGGAGTTCACATGCAAGCTGTCAGATCAACAAACAAACAAAGAACACGAACGATTCTCAGCCATCGAAACAATGTTGCTGCAAAGCATCTTCTTCCTCCTTAATTGCCACTCATGCTCTAGTTCTGGTGCTTCTGTCTGCTAACTCTCAGCCGTCCGATCATGCCACGCTCACCTTTCAGCCGTCGGATCACCCGCTGCCTCTCCGCAGCATCGTCCTCGTCCCCTGCTCCTCCTGCTGCCGCTGCTCGTCTCAAATGAGGCGGTACGTACTTCCCCCCCTCGCCTACTTTCTGATTCGCTAGCGCACTCATGCGCTTTGCTCCTTCCGCTGCTGCTTCTCCACCCTCCTCTTCTTGCTCCTCTTCCCACTCCTCTCCCTCCTCTTCCTCTCCTAGTTCATCCCCTTCCTCCCCCTCTTCTCCCTCCTCACTTCCATCATCTGACCACTCCCCATCCTCTTCAAACGAACCCAGTGACCCCTCTTCCTCAGCCTCCTCCTCCTCCATCTCTCCCTCCTCCCCTTCCTCTCCCTCCTCTTCTTCCTCCCATTCCTCTCCCTCCTCACCCACCTCCCCTTCTTCCCCTTCCTCTCCTTCCTCGCTCTCCTCCTCTCCATCCACCATCCCATCCTCACTATAATCCTCCTCACTAAACCCTTCTAATCCCTCCTCTTCCTCATCCTCCTCCTCGTCTTCCGAATCCCCGAAACCTCCTCCCATCCCACCCCACCCATCCTCCTCATCACTCCCTCCAAACCCCAAAAACCCTTCCAAACCGTCCTTAGACCCTGGCAAAACCCCGCCTTTCACATTCAGCTTCTTCGCGAGCATCCTTTCCTCCTCCTCCTCCTCTCTCACAGTCATCCCTCCATTCTCTTCCATCTCTAACAACCTCTCAAAGTTGGTCATCTTCCTCCTCTTCCCCTCCCTCTCCTCCCCACTCTTTCCCTCTCTCTTCCCCTCCTTTCCTACATTCTTCCCTTCTCTCTTATCTTCTTTTGTCTCTGCTTGGACCTTCTCTTTCTTTCCACCCCTCGCCGCCTCTCGCGCTCCTGTCCCCGTGCCCTTCCCCACAGCACCCCCCACCATCTCTACCCCCCCGCCACTTGCCACCTCCGCCGCTTTTCTCTTTCCGCCAACAGCAGCAGTTCCACTCTTTCCCGCTGCTGAAGTGCCGCTTTGTCCCACCCGACCAGCCTCTTTTGTTGCGCCCTGCTTTCCGCCCGCCCCCTTCCCCTGATCCTCTCTCCCCCGGGCACCTGCACCACCCGCTAGAACCTTCCCCCCGCCATGGCCTTCCCCCTTCGCCTGCGCCTGACCCCCTCCCGTTGCTCCACCTGCTCCCTTCCCGCTTCCCGTGCCTCCTTCCGCGCCCCCCGCGTTTGCCCCTGCGCTCCCCGCCTTCCGTCCCCCCACGCGCTGCTGCGCCCATTCCTGCCGCTTCTGCTGCTTCTCCTGCCGCTGCTGCCGTCGCTGCTCTTTCCGCGATAAACCCTTTTTGCGCGGTAAACCCGAAACCCTGCCCTCCTCGTCGTCTGCGTGGTTGCAGAGAGGGGGGAGGAGGAGGGGGGACGAGGAAAAAGGTAGTGAGGCGTCTCGCGGCCTATTCGATACTCAAGAGTCTACAACCCGGAAACCTGAATCTGTTCAGTATTATCCAAAAACAGCCTCGGTCAAACCTAATGGACAAAAACAGACCGAAACGGCAGTAACAATTCTATCACCTGGTACTGCAACGCAGTCATGGATTAGTCGTCGTACAACGTCGGTCACTAATTAGTAGTCATAAACTCGTACTTATGGACTAGTTGTTAGTGCCGACGAGGAAGCTATTCGGAGCGGCCTACCAGAAAGCGCCACGTCATCATCGTCGTCATCGTTGGGCTCTTGAAGCTGCTGCTGCAAGGAGAAGGGCAGCGACGGACCACCACGTGGCGGACCACGTGGCGCGAAACGGCCTCCCGGGCGGCCCATCCGACTATTCCTCCTCGTGACACTACCGGACTGAACTCTTACAATCACCCTAGCGCGACTCTACCATAGTAGAGTTTGTTCTTGATGAGAGCTCGAGTTTGCAAGGTGATGAATGTCCGTTGGTGTTGCTTGCACAAAAAATCGTGTCGAGTGTG